GGAAAGAGAAAAAGATTTTTCTAAGACTGGTTTTAGAGAAAAACAAAAATAAGCACAAGACCACCTCAAGACACCAGAAGAAAGGTTGCGTGTGACCCTATGTCCCTCCTTCTGATCTGTCCACACCTCTGATCCGTGAGTACAAGTGCACCCCTCTTGATGTCCATGACAGGGTATACTCCAAGGATGCAACCAGATGTGTGCAGGGTACCTCTTCCAGCCAGACAAGCAGTATGATGTCTCCTACGACACAGGGGACAAGGCAATTCAGTGCGGCCGCCACGTGGACATCTTCAAGTTCTGGCTGATGTGGAAAGCAAAGGTATGAAGGGTGTAATTCAGGAACTAGAGCACTGCACAGACTGGCAGGCAAAGAGACACAAAAACACATCTTAGGTGATTCACTGTGTGTGTAATCAATATCTAGATAATTGAGTTGACAGTATTTTTGCAAATAAAACACCTTCATCTTTTATGTCAAATTCCCCTTCCTTTCATACAGTCTCACTTTGAATTAGCATAAAGTTTTCTTATAACTTTCTCTTATGACAACTAAAAGTTATACCAAGATAAGAATTTCCACAGCAATCCTTAGGGATGCTGAAATGATTTAATGTAGATAGAAAGAGACAAAAGGTAGAATTACTGCATTATTCCAAGTAGAAGCCTGAATTCCTTTATGAGGCCTCTCATCACAGGATATATGTGATGGCTTTAAGTTCTATTTAAATAATGGCTTCCCTATTATTTGTACTTAAACATTATTCTGGGAAATGAATCCTACTGCTGCACTGAAGCATGCTGTGTCCACATTCATCAGCCTGGTGGGTTGCTTTTCTCTACCCAGAGAAAATGCTAACTATTCAATGAGGGATAGAATTACCATTTTGACTTTTGTTTCAAAAGTATTGCTATGCAGGGACCAGCAGTTAGTGTAATGGCTATGTCGCTGGACTCCCATGTAGTCGACCATGGTTCGCGTCCTGGACCTGGTGGCTTAAAACTCACGCCGGGCGTGTGTGCGTGAGTGCCCAAGATCCCGAGAGGAGAATAGAGGAGAAGGGATTGCGGCGTGGCCATCCCCTCTGGGGGGTGATTTCTCACTTTCTGTCTCTCTGTCTCTCTCCCTCTGTCTGGAGAGTGCACACGCCCTATAGCAAAAATCTCTCCAAAAAAATAAAAAAAGTATTGCTGTGCGCTCAACTAAATTTTGATTTCACAGCTTTATATTGCATCCATTGTATTTATTTACCTACTTTATGTTAATTTAAATAATTTCCATAATATGATTAAGTCTACCTAATACTCAGACAACAAGATTTTTTAGCAAAATATCTAGTCAAATATTTCTTCAGTAGGAAAAATTTGGTAGATTATTAGTTTTTTTCTCATTAAGTCATTTTGTCTTAATTAGAAATAGTCTGAATTTGATTTCTGCCATAATACAAGCATGGGTATTTTAAGCATATAAATAGCCATAAATTGGAACAACACAAAAAAGCCCAGTCATTTTGAAATGCAATGACCACATGGCCTGTCTTAGTAATGTGTGCCTTCATTTTGCTTGACAACAACCTGTTAAACTGTCTGTCAGAGGTTTGGCAATTGGTTGCTAGATGGGACTCTGGTGCTCACTTCTTGGCCAAGTGGACTGGCCAGGGTGTCACAGTCAGTAGTGGCATTATTTGGGGAGGTCCCCCCTTTGCCAGTGTTGGACTCCACTCAGGCCTGCTAGTAATCTACAAGCCAGCCCTGTGCATCTGCTCTCTTTGTTGTCAACATCAACCCACTCAACAGCCCACATGCTGCTGTTATTAATCAGCCATGATGGCTTTTTTGAAACTCACACTCAACCAGTTTGTCAATAGTTGGAACCATTGCAGTCTCAGAGCATGTACTGAGACCGATGGCTTCCCCATCTGCCTGCCAGTCTGCCGGCCTGTCCAAAATGAGCTAACACTGAGTTACATGGAAGGTAGCCTGCCTGGGAGGGCGTGGGACATGTCTGAGCAGGACTTACTGGGGAAGATGGGGCCTATGCTTTCAAAGTCCCTACAATGAGGGCCCAGCAGGTGGTATGGTGATTGGGGTGCTGGACTTCCACGTAGCTGACCGTGGTTCAAGTCCTGGACCTAGTGGTTTGCTTTTTCACGTTCCCTTTCTCTGTCTCTCTGGTCAAAATGTGTGCCTTCATTTTGCTTGACAACAACCTGTTAAACTGTCTGTCAGAGGTTTGGCAATTGGTTGCTAGATGGGACTCTGGTGCTCACTTCTTGGCCAAGTGGACTGGCCAGGGTGTCACAGTCAGTAGTGGCATTATTTGGGGAGGTCCCCCCTTTGCCAGTGTTGGACTCCACTCAGGCCTGCTAGTAATCTACAAGCCAGCCCTGTGCATCTGCTCTCTTTGTTGTCAACATCAACCCACTCAACAGCCCACATGCTGCTGTTATTAATCAGCCATGATGGCTTTTTTGAAACTCACACTCAACCAGTTTGTCAATAGTTGGAACCATTGCAGTCTCAGAGCATGTACTGAGACCGATGGCTTCCCCATCTGCCTGCCAGTCTGCCGGCCTGTCCAAAATGAGCTAACACTGAGTTACATGGAAGGTAGCCTGCCTGGGAGGGCGTGGGACATGTCTGAGCAGGACTTACTGGGGAAGATGGGGCCTATGCTTTCAAAGTCCCTACAATGAGGGCCCAGCAGGTGGTATGGTGATTGGGGTGCTGGACTTCCACGTAGCTGACCGTGGTTCAAGTCCTGGACCTAGTGGTTTGCTTTTTCACGTTCCCTTTCTCTGTCTCTCTGGTCAAATTAAAAATAATGATAAATAAAATAAAATAATAGTTCTTTTTTTAAAAAGTCCCTATGATGAAGAACTAGATATTTGTTTTCTTAACCTATCATGGACTAATTCAATAAAGGTAAATTGCTGGAAAATGAAATTTAAAAACACCAAGTAAAAGCCACTCTTATTATTGTTATTAGTAGTAGTAGTATAGTTAATAGACACACCCTGTCAAATTGCAATAAAAATTTCTTATTGCCTAATCTCCATTTTTGTACTCATGTCATCATGGACTGGCTCTAGTTTGTGGACTGGCTTCAGTCCACAGATGACACATTGAGTAGCACTGTCCTGAAGCAAACCAGAAACAGGTTTTAGCTCCAAGCTGTGAACGACCAGCAGAAAACTAAGAGCCCTATTGCGAATACTGTCCAGAGACTAGAATGCCTTCAGAAATGAAAGCAGGGGGAACCAGCAGTTAATGTAATGGCTATGTCGCTGGACTCCCACGTAGTCGACTGTGGTACACGTCCCGGACCCAGTGGCTTAAAACTCGCACCGGGCGCATGTGTGTGCGTGCCCAGGATCCCGAGAGGAGAATGGAGGAGAAGGGATTGCAGCGTGACCATCCCCCCTGGGGAGTGATTTCTCGCTTTCTGTCTCTATGTCTCTCTCTGTCTGGCGAGCACACGTGCCCTATAGCGAAAACCTCTCAAAAAAAAAAAAAAAAGAAATGAAAGCAGGCACATTTCATTTTCATTTTAGTACGTGCAGGGCTATTCTTTTTTTTTTTTTTTTTTTTTTTTTTTGCTATAGGGTGTGTGCACTCTCCAGAAAGACAGAGAGACAGAAAACAGGAAATCACCCCCCAGGGGTGGCCACGCCGCAATCCCTTCTCCTCCATTCTCCTCTCGGGATCTTGGGCATGCACACACACGCCCAGCATGAGTTTAAGCCACTGGGTCCGGGACTCGAACCGCGGTTTACTACATGGGGGCCCAGCAACATAGTCACTATGCCAACTGCTGGTCCCAGGGCTATTCTTCTTAAGGGTCTCCATGAATTCTCTTCCCAGATGTCCACCAAAGGGAAATGCAGCCTATCAACAAACTTGACTTTTTTTTTTCTTTAAAACAGGGCACAGTGGGATTTGAAAATCAAATCAACAAATGTCTGGAACTGGCTGAATATCTTTATGTCAAGATTAAAAACAGAGAAGAATTTGAGATGGTTTTTGACGGGGAGGTAAGTTGTCTTCATGGGTTATGTGCGTAAACGTTCCCATAAAAACTGAGCGAAGCTCCTGTGGCTGTATTATTCCACATTGCCAGAAGCTACTTCTGAACTTTTACTCTTATGTTTGCTTTATTCAATTTCTCCACGTCCGCGAACATTTCTTCTGGCAGCACTGGGATGACTTTCCCCCTTACTCTCTGCTAAAACCTTGTAGCTAGCAGCTAGCCCTTTGCAGATAAGAAGTTTATTCCTTGATGGGTCTGAATTTTTAATCATTCTTGGGTTTATCTTATGTTAAACTTCCAAGAGAAGGTGTTTCTCAGATCATAGAAACTTACAAGATGGGTGTATTCTTGCCTCCTAAGACTGATTCTAAAATGATGTTCTACTTAGAGTCTAAGGTGACCCACATAAAATTGTCTCTTCCCTGAGTTCATATCCACGTGCACACTGTATTTGTAATAGCAATATACTGAGGGCCTACTGTGTGCCAGGACCCATGCCAGGAACTAGATAATACAGAATTGACCGAAACAGATACAGCCTCAATTCATGATTGAATAAGAAACATTAAAAAGATAGGAGCCAGTTTTGAATAAAAGAAAATCTACTCATACCCTGGATAATAGAACACCATCTATATTAAACATTAGTTTACTTATACGGCAACTTAAACTATTAGAAACACACCTGAGAGTTACCAAATGAGCAAGAGAGCTCTGAGCGGTTACAACGGTGCCATGGTGCTCATGCATTTTACCTGTGGGGCCTTACTCTGATCAGTTACACTATTTCAAACATTCTAATAGCACATTAGGAGCAGCAATTGTGATGTCTCAAGCCAAACAGCAACTAGGAAGGAAGCTGAAAAGGTATAGCATTCAACCCAATGAGATAGTCAGTACCCACACAATAAACTGATTTACACATTGTCTATACGTGAGGGACTACAAAATGGCAAGATGGCAAGCCTTTTCAATGACCCCAGTATAATTATTTTATTATATCAATATTTAAAGGTGATAACTTTAGTTATCTAGAAAAGCAGTTGTGGGAACAGCCCACTTCCGGATGTGATTGGATAAACTACGTATTGTTTCCCTTAGAAGTGACTTGGATTTGAAATGTACATTGAGCTTCTTCCTTTGGTCTAGAATTCCACCAAGAGTACTTGTGGGCTTGAAAACAACTTTCTCTCAAGGTCTCATAATTTTTTTGTTTTGTTCTTTTTGCCTTTTTTAAATTTCTGCAGCCTGAACATACAAATGTTTGTTTCTGGTATATTCCACAAAGCCTTAGGGGTGTTCCAGACAGCCCAGAGCGTCGGGAAAAACTTCATAGGGTATGGACTCCCCTTTGTCTCGTCTAATCCTCTGCAACTTATCTGACTAATTGGGACATTCTTATTCCAATAGGCCTTTGTAATGGGGGAAAGATAAGGCTGGGGGAGACTTCTCATGATGGTATAATGGTTACATTGCTCGAACTCCCACATGGTTCAAGTCCCACACCCAGCGGCTTGAAATTCATGCCAGGTGCATGTGTGCGCATGCCCAAAATCCCAAGAAGAGGGTGGAGGAGAAAGGATTGGGTGGGTGATTTCTCATTTTCTGTCTCTCTCTCGATCTCTGGCAAGTGAATATACCCTCTAGCAAAAATCTCTCTGAAAAAAAAACAACAACAAAAAAATACAGGCGGGGGGCAGGGGCATGTGTGCCCCAAATCCTGACGGGATAGAGAAGTGGAGAAGGGATTGTGGCATGACCACCCTCTGCTGGGAATTGATATCCTTCTCTCTTTCTCTGGCAAATGCACATGACCCCTGACGATTTTTTATAAAGGTGGGGGAGAGAGTATAATGTCAGTCTTGAGTATAATGTCAGTCTTGAGTTTGTTTTGTGTTTTCTCTCATAAGGTGGCTCCCAAAATCAAAGCCCTGATGATGGAGTCAGGCACAACCATGGTTGGCTACCAGCCTCAGGGGGATAAAGCCAACTTCTTCCGGATGGTCATCTCCAACCCAGCTGCTACTCAGTCTGACATCGACTTCCTCATTGAGGAGATAGAAAGACTGGGCCAAGATCTGTAAACACCCTGTGCAGAGAATGCATTCATGGGGATCCCCTGTCCCTTCTGACACTCTAGAACAAACCTCTATAAGTTGCTAAAACACATAGACCATTTCATTGAAGGAAAATACAATATCCTGAAGAATACTGTTAAGACCTTACTTAAGCTTGTTTGTTATAGTTAGCAGGAAATAATGTTCTTTCTAACAAGTTGCACATTAGGAACACAGTATATATGTACAGTTATATATACCTCTATATATATGTATAGTGAGTATGACGTAGTAGTAGTTTACAGCATGTCTCTCAAGAGAATTCACTTCACTGCAGCAGTTCCTGAGGGGCTAAACACGCTGCAAGTCAGCTTGCCCAACCACCACGAGAAAGATGCTTTCCAAAATGCCATGTCCTAGGGACTGAGGGACATGCTACAGTGGTAGTTAACCTCGCTGTCAGTGTTCCTCCCACCTGAGTTACTGACTGATGAGAACAAGCACTGGATGACAAGAGTCACACCCTCCCCATTAGTATTCTTCTGTCAGGGGGAAGTAGTAGCAGAGTCATTGTTACAGGTGTATTATTGCTGGATTTTTAGAGATTAATTTGTGTAGATGTGTATATTACTGTTGTCTGATCTCGGAGGGGGGGAAACGTAATGATTTTAATGATTGTTTCATTGTAGGTCAATGAAATATTTGCTTATTTATATTCAGAGATTTACCATGTTAAAGAGGTGTCTTGTATTTTCCTCCCATTTGTAATGTATCTTATTTATATATTAATGAAATAAGTTCTGAATACTGTTTATGGTATTTTCGTGCATTTGTGAGCCAAAGAGAAAAGTTTAAAATTAGTGAGACTTGTATTTATATTAGAGTGCCCTTAAAATCTGATTTAAGCATAAATTAACTGTCTGTAAGAGAATTCTGATACTGTCCATAGAGTCATATGTAAGGAGGTCCTCATACTTAAGTAGCATCTGCTCTCCTGTTATTCTGTCTGGCTGTGTGTCTGGTGTTCTCAATGCTTTTCTAGTAACTGTTGGATAATAACTAGGTCTCCTGTAATCTAGTAGTAGTTCATGACCAATCTCTGTGACTCGCTTAGCTGAAACCTAAGGCCATGTTTCCGAAGACTTTCTGAAGATCTCAGATCAATTGACCAGGCTCACACTGTTTTTAAAGAAAGGAACTTCACACTGTGCGTTTTAGAGTATGCAAGAAGACTATAAATAAATAAAAATATTCTCAATGGAGAATTTGAACAAAATACTCTTCAGTTTGTGTTTCATATGGAGAAAGATATTTCCAGTTATAGTTCCTTAGCTGGTGCACCAC